TGTCAATAACTTGTGCGAATGCTTGAATATATTTACATACCGCAAATATATTTGCATAAAGCAGTATAAACCATGTAGCAAAATCTCTGTTGATTGACTCTTTATATTGTCACCATGAGATATGTATCATCATTATGATTGAGATATTGTATACAATTAGAGCAATTCAATTATTGTAGAAAAAAATAATAATGTTTACTTGAAAAATATATAAAAATATCAAATAATTACCCTAATATAATGTAATTGTTTTTCTTTTTTTGCAACCTATAATGAGTGATCTGCAAATGATTTTCTGTCAGAAAGTTCTGAATGCACTCAAGTATGCACATACAATTTTGTTAGTGTTTACAATATGAGACAGACAAAGTGGATCCTCCTTTTCACATGACAATAATTTTTTACAATTGTTCATACACTTGAGTTACTATTTTTATCTCCGTGTAATAGCAGATTTGTGTATAGCTAAAGTTTAAAATGAATGTGCGTTTAAATCAACCTTTCCAAAAAAAAACAAAAAAAAATAGTGGGATGAGGGACCCTCAAGTGCTCTGACACATTTGAAACATTTGTCCTTCTCACATCTGTCGTTGTCAAAGACAGGAAATGTTGTTTACATATGCGTTCTTAAACCAATTATGCTTAAAAAGTCGCTCACATGTGTGGTCATGTAAACATATGAAACTATTTTTCTTTAAGCATAAACCGTTCGACATAGCTATGTTTTTACCCATTACCCCGACTTCGCTTGGCATGTAAACACCTTAACCTACGCATGTGTGATACGTGACAGGAAAGCGTCCTTTACTGTGGATTTAAGCGTATCCAGTCATGGTACGCATTTTGCAGTAGAGGAGGAGGAAATATATTATACACTCTGACTCTTTATTGACCCAGAAAATTATAAAAATATGTTCTCATATCATATAAAAGAAGGGGTACAGTCAAAGAAACTGCAAACATAAGAGAATATGAGTTCTGAACACATTTCCTGATATTTTGGAACACTATTTGGAACACTCTAATGCTTTTTTGAACATTGCAATGATCATATTGTGACGTCACTTCTTGTAAAGGCAGTTTTCTGGCAAGTAATCCGATGTCATGAGCTGATTTTTGGTAGTTATCAGCATATTGGTGTGCATGTAAACATGCTCACTGGTAAGAAACAGGGAAATCGGATCAGGACATCATGCAGGTCGAATTTGAACCTGCATTTCCCACATAAGCACCAAATCTTGACATATCTGTAGCACACACGTTAGTCACTAAGCTACAGCTTCGGTTTGCCTGTGTTTTCTATTTGTTTTCCATAAATCTGCACTGGTGTATAACTCTCAGAGCTCACAAGAGGTTTAACAGGCAGGAATCTTTGATAGACTAGATGGCTAAACAGATAGTTGGCACTGGTCAGCCTCGGTTTAACCTCCATGCGATTTCAGTGTGTGTGTGTGTTTGTTTGTATTTTCCATTCTATATTTGCACATTTATTTGCTCATGATAATTTGCATATCTAACACACTGGGTATTTTAGATGATTTCAAAACACTGCTGATTAGGGTTGCACTCTCTTCCTCATAGTGACCCGCTCTCTACATCACATTTTTTTACGTACATGTGTCCAAATGCATTTGAAAGCACTTACTGTCGTCACTGAACCCAAGGCGAGAGTGCATTGCTCTGTGTGTGTGTGTGTGTGTGTGTGTGTGTGTGTGTGTGTGTGTGTGTGTGTGTTATGAGACTGTGTGTCCCCTAAATGACCCCGGCCCTCAATCTGGCTCCAGGCACTTTATTAAGGGATTAACGGGCTAGTGGTTGTCAGTGTCCCCGTGTGCCATTGCCTCCTCCAGCTCCTGACACCTGGGCACACTACTGACCCCCCCCCCCCCCAAACACACAAACACACACACACACACTCAGACACTGTAAAGATACACTGTACTCACACACAATCTAGGTCAGAGCCAGACAACAACACTCCAACAGACCCTGCCCAATAATGGGAGGGGTGGAGGTCACCCGGCCTACCCACAATCTCCTGCTCCCTCGTCTCCGGCCAGACTAAATTCATATGATTACACCCCCTCGTCCTCCCTCCCCAGCTGTCTGATCAAGCGTGGTCACCCTTGAGAAGCATATGCCATCTACCGCTCAGCTGTACATATTGTCAGACGTCTGATCTGAAAAGAGGAACAGGCTAAACGTTTTTCTACCCTCCTGTTTTCTCCAGTCTAAATGTAGGGAGCGGACCTCTTTGTTTTCCTGTATCAGAAAGGCTGAGTGAGTTTACAAAAGCTGGTTTTCATTAAAAGAACTCTGGCGTTCCTATGAGCTGACTGACTGACTGTCTGTCTTTCTTGTCCTGTCATGGCGCTTGCATGTTTTTTAGGCTAACCATAGAAAGTCCTTGAAACCTTTAGAAGTTTGTAAATGTACTGTCAAGTTCAACCCTCACTGTCATGTTCTGCTTTATACTACAGCACTTTATAACTGCAAATATAAAAAAAACAAAAAAACAAACTCGCCAGTTAATGTCACGGGCGCACTGCTGAGCAGAGTCAGGAGCAAGGAACGGAGAGAGACGAGGAGTACATCAGTCCAACTGGGTTTTAATTTAGACAAAGGAACACGGAACACTCACACAATACATGGAGACATGACATGAACATGACCTGAACAATACCGGACGCTGGAGCACACACAGGGAGCACTATTTATCCACACAGGAGGAGGGGATGGCGAGACACACCTGGGAGCAATGAAACAATCAAGGGAAACACCTGGGACAAATTAAACATGGGAAAGGAAGGCACATGAGGAAAACAACCACAAAACACGGAACAGAGTCTGACATAACGCCCCCCTCCGGAAGGCGTGTCCTCACGCCATATAACATCCA